CATTCCCAAGGATGTTTGTCGGCAAGTTGCATAATTTATTTTTTAAAAATAAATACTGATGATAATAAATAATAAATTGGTGTCTTAGATGACTACGGCTCTAATGCGGGCTTTACCGTGGAAAGATGGTCCCTCGGTAGGAATGAAGACTTCCATCCATCCCTCCTAGCAGGCGTAAAGCAGGTGGACATAATATCATTTTGCCTGCCCAAGGAGTGTGTCTTCATTGTGGCATCAGCACAAAATATCAATGCAAAGAATGCCATAAATGCATTCATATTGATTGTTTTCCGCAATATCACGGATTGTTAATCGTATATTAGCATAACAATTTTTTTTTTTATTCCGTATTCCTACATACACATTTTCTATTATTTTACAAACAATTATAATGTTTTACTATACTATAGTAATAATTTTTTATCAATATTAATAAAAACACCAATATTCTTATATTGAATATTCTAATAAAACTATTAAGAAAAAATTTCTTTGTATAACCTGAACCTGCCATTGTTCCACTTCTGGAACAAGTTGGAAAAGCACTAAGGAAATTTTTTTTTTTGTAACTGTCTAAACTGGACCATATTGAGACCAATATTACAAAAAATAAAATAAAATTTCTACTGCAATTAGGGGGTGCTGTGTAAAAGGTTAAGCTCAAAACTGAGCTTCCCATATTTATCGAGGGCTGTTTTTATGTTTTTTACATCCTTATTGACATCTGCTTCTAGGCGATTTACTGCTACCAGTATTTCTGAGGCAGACGGCTCAGTGTTAGGTTTTTTGGCCTTGTAACAATTGGGGCATACCCATGTTTTTTTGTATGCTTTTAGGGCTTCAATTTCTTTTTCATTTAGATTGAAATATCTACCATGAAAATAATTTTGCATTTTGCACAATAAAGATTGTTTTTGTCTTTGAGTGCAGTTGTATTATTGCAAATATTACACTGCACCATATATATATATATATATATATATATATATATATATATATATATATATATATATATATATTATTTTTTTTTTTCTTTGTATAGCCTGTTTTTACAAGTATTACACCTGTAGGCTAGACCTGGACAGAATTTATTTGAAAAATATTCCCGGAATAAATCGTGAAATAAACCTCAATAGTTATTTCGGAAATAATTTATTTCACGAAATAACATGAACATTATTTCAGAAATGATTATTTCTGGAATAAATTATTTCAGGAATAACGATATAATGATTATTTCATAAATAAATAAAATGATTTTAATAATAAGCTACACTAAAACATAATAGTCGACCCTGATATCGATTAAAAGTTACAAAAAGTTGATGCGGGGAGAGGGGGTGGTGCAATCCTTGATATTGATTAAATCCGAAAAGTACTCATTAAGGTAAAAAGTATCGGTAAATTTTTTATTTTATTTCGGAACAATGTATTTCTGAAATATTTATTTCTTGATTTTTTGCAATAATTTATTTATGAAATAAATAATTCTGAAATAATAGTTATGAAACAATTTATTTCAGAAATAACTCATTTCGAAATGAATTGCTTTATTCCAAAGAATGTTAAAATATTGAAATAATTATTTCAGAAATACATTCAGCAGTTATTCCATCGAGATTATTTCATTCACAGTTTGAAATATTATTTCAGAAATAATCATTATTCCCGAAATATATTATATTCATAATATATATTCATTCGTGGAATAACCATATGATTTATTCTAGAAATAAATTATTTCAAGAGTTCCCAGGTCTACTGTAGGCCTCTCCTAATTAAGAGGGTAATGGTCTAACTTCCCACTGGGACCAGCCGTATTGAGAAGTAGGGCCGGGATTCGTTCCTTTGATCTTTGCTTTACTAGTATAGCACGCTAACCACTCTGCTATATCGGCCCCTTTATCATATTTATTGAATATTAAATCAATTAAGATATAAATAAACATCGGGAGACAGTTGCTTTGATGAAAGCAGTAAACAGTGTTGTGTAATGCCATAAGGATTAGTAGACATTTACAGTTCCGTAGCTCCTGAAACTCAATTAGATTCACGACACTTTCTTCACGGAGATAAATTGAAAATATGGCAATAGAAATAGTGAATACTAATACTGTTTTAAAAAAAACTGAAATGAACTATACTGAAGATTAAAATAAAGAAAAACAGAATTGATGATATAAGAGAGTAATAGCGATGTGCACAGGTAGCTGTCTCTGGCCAGACTGACAATATGGTCTCCGCCACCACCAGCTTGCGTGTATTTAGTTTTTTTCTCATTGACTGTGAGGCCTAATTCTCTGGCAGCTGTTTCAAAAGCAATGAAAGAAGAATGAAACGTTTTAAGCAATTGCTTACTAGAGAACAGAATCAGCGGGCTTGCATGTCTGTCACACCTCACAGAAGTGAAAACGTTGATCCACCTTTAGATGCCATTAGTTAGCTGAAAAATATCAAGGCTACTGTCATCGACAGCGTCTAGACAGAATTACTGAAGTAAGGAGGTGAGGAGCTAGAAAAAGTGTTGTACGAGTTCATACTGTATATCTGGATGGAAGAAAGGATTTTACAGGAATTGTACAATTTTGTAATATTTTTCCTAAACAAAAAGAGGGACTAAAATACCTATAGACCGCATTAACTATAGGGGAATTGTGTTGCTCTCTTGTGCTTATAAAGTTATATCTAATGTCCTGTTTGAGAAACTAGTTCCATTCGCTGAGAGAGAACTTGGAAATTACTTAACAGGATGTAGAAGAGGTCGTTCAATCACCGATTAGATCTTTTTATGTTATGGATGATCCTGTAAAAGGTCATGGAATACAAGCTGCCCACTCACCATTTCTTCGTTGACTTTATGAGAGCATCGGTAGAAAGGAACTGTAAAAAGGCCCAAGAAGAGCTTAAAGTCCCAGGGAAACTCAAGCTTGCTTGTAAAGATGACCTTGGAAAACTCAAAATGTGCAGTCCGCGTGGTTCAAATCTTTCTGAGGTATTCGAAACCAGTAGCAGGGTAAGATAAGGAGACGCCCTTGCTTGCCTCCTATTCAATCTGGCATTAGAATGGCTGTCTGAAAATCAAAAATTCAAGCAATGGGTACCATCTTTTATAATGCCGATAACATTGACATCGTGGCTATTTTAGAAGAGGCATTCATTTATAGGCTAGTTAGCTTAAAATCATGTTCCAAAATCCTAATTCAGGATGGATACCGGAAACTATTTCAAAGAATTAATGATGATGGGTGTGCTTGCCATGTACTTTATCCCTCAAATCTGAGAATATCTTAAAACTAGGCTTTATTTTATGGTGAACCCATGTAATAAATCTTTACCTTCCCAATTCAGAACTATTGGCTTCTAGTCCTGTCTTGTCATGGAAGTCATTTATGAATAATTTTATGTCTTGTTTATGAGTTTGGTCTACAACATTTTCTGATTGATTGTAGAAATCATTCTTTACCTCTTCATCTTTATCTTTGGTTGGTGTATACACAATAATAATCGTGGTATTAAACCAATAACTAATGTGCAGGATATAATTAAATAATAAATTTCCATATATAAATCTTATAAACATATATAAATCTTGAATATATAACCAACCATTGACAGTTTATTAATGTTATCCATTAAGATAACTGACTGGCTAGTCAGTAGGTCATCAATTTCAACCAAATTTTTTTCTGGAGACACTACATCGAAATATATTTGACTCATATTCTGGCATTCGTTCCAATAAGCCCTAGGAGCTGAGAAAAACAAATTTTTATCTAATTTATAAAATTTATTTTTGCCTTTGCTTTTTACAGATTTTTAGTATATCAATCAATTTCTTTTTTTGTGCAGAATAAGTAAAGAAATATTGACTTGTGTATGAAATGAGTTGTTATGTATCATAAATTACAAAAATTAAAAGGCTCTTCCAGTAAAATACATCAAATAAATTTTTGTAATGATTAAATATTGTTTTAGGGAGGAAAAAGTTGATATTCATTTTTTGAATCTCAAAAAAACTATTATGTACGAATTTTTAAAGTAAAAATTAAAATTTCTGCCTAAGCTGGATTCTTTTTCCTGTAGAGGATAGAGCCCTTATCCCTAACAATGTGTGTGTGGATCGGTAGATAATAATTGTGGATCGGTAAGTAAAAATTCTGCACGAAATTTTTACCTAGGCTGGATCCTTCGATATTTTCTCAACAACTATAAAAACCATGATAACTTTAGAACGACCCTACCGAACCACACAAAAATTATTAGAGATTAGGGCTCTATACAATACACGAAATGGTACAAAACCGACCTCCGTAAACAAGGAAGTTTTTCTTAATTTCTAATTTTAAAAGGAATGTAATCTAAAAGTTAGCAATATGGGTTGGAAGAGTAGTAATTCAGCTTTCCAATGGTCGAACTAATGTTGAATTTGGATAAAATCCTGAGAAGTTATGAATGTTTTAGTTATTGGCCAGAAAAAAATCCTCGTAAGAAAATTAAGTATTAAATTATGCAATTTATGATTTTTATAAAAATTCATGTTTAAGAGTTTCAAAGGACACTAAAAACGAATCTAACTTACTTTTTCATTACAAAAATTTATTTAGCATACTTTATTGGAAGCGTCTTTTAATTTTTATAATTTATGATACATGATAACTCATTTAGTACCAAAATCAATATCTTTTTCTTATTCTTCACAAAAAAAAAAAATTGATTGATAGATAATACCCTAAAAATCCGGGCAAAGCAAAGGCAAAAATAAATAACATAAATTTTGTTCGAAATTATATACATTTTTTTTTCTCGGCTCCTAGAGCCCATTGGAATATTTCATTTTCCGATTTTAACCAAAAAAAAAATTTGGTTAAAATCGGTGACCCACAGACTGTAACCTCCTCTTCTGGGTAAAGAAAAGTTTTATCTTATTTTCTATTATATAAGTTTTTATTATTTACTACATTTTTCATATTGTGATAAACTGAGTTAACTATTTGTTTCAGTTCTTTGTTGCTCAACCCGATGCCATAGAAGTTGTGAAGGGTATGACTATACCATGGTGTAGCTCTTGTGATAGTGAAACCCTTGGAGTGGCAATTGGTATTGTTGGCGCAGTGATAATGCCTCATAATCTTTACTTGCATTCTGGACTAGTTAAGGTGAATTGATATTCTATTTGTTTACAAATATTCATAAAATGATTAGGATCTTGAATATGTTCTCCCTTTTTAATTTATTTTATTTTATTTTTTTTTTTTTTTTGTGAAAGTTAATGCTTTATTTAAAGAAAGCGGTAAAAAACATGTCAAAGTATTGTACGTCACTAGGCACTACTTTCTGGCAGCATATAAATTCCACATCAGGAAAACGATTCATCTTTTAAGAATATCCAAGATTGTAACTATTTTTTGGTGTTTTCATAAGAAAGGAAGTTTTCTCTGCCAGGCCATGTGCCATCCAACGAAATAAGTGAAGATTAGGAGGGGGGCTATATCCAGTGAACAGGGCGGATGAGACAGGACTTCTCATTTAAATTTTTTTCGATAGGTTTTACAACATGTGGTCGAGCATTGTTATGTAATAAAATCACCTTGTTGAGTCTCTGCTCTTATAGTGGCCATTTTTCCTTTAAGGCTAGGCTCAGATGCATCAATTGCAGTCAATAGCAATCTCCCTTTATAGTTTTGTTCGGTTTGAGCACTTCATAATAGATACGCTATGGTGATCTCACCAAATGGATATTTGGCTCTGCAGATGATGTCGAGCTCACCCCATGATTTTTTAAGCTTAGGATTATCGTACTGTATCCATTTTTCATTTCCAGTCAATGCAAGTCAAAACATCACCTTTTTTGTCAGTGAAACAGCAGTTCACAGGTGAGAAAACATCGTTCAGCTCCACGGCTTAAACTCATACAGCATCTAACGTCCTTGGTAATGCAATTTCTCTTTACTTAGCACAAAACTCAACATTTTTATAATTATGAAAAAAAATCTGCATCACACTAATTTCACTTACCCGCCATACTTTGAACAGAAATTATCTGGCATAATTGGGCTATTACAAAAAGTTTTTAAAGTGCATTTTTACTAGAGCTAAACCTTAAAAATGCATTTCTGAATTTTGGTCATATTGATCAATGCAAAAACTCATTATAACCATCAAACTAACAAGCTCTATTTATTATGAAAGGTAAGCAATAAAAATCTCATAACTCTACCAATTTATTTGAACCACATAAATCCAGTCTCTGAGCTCTATATAAAAAGAGAGATTTAATAGTAAATTTATTTAATCTACGATTAAGTGACGGTTGCTCTACATAGTAAAAATTACAGGAATTAGATCTATCACTTTTTACACACACGCGCACACTCACACACTCACACACACACACACACACACACACACACACACACACACACACACACACACACACACACACACGCACGCACACTCACACACACACACACACACACATGGGATGAATGGGGATGTATACAGTGAAAAGGATGCAGTAAAAGGAACCCGGCCTCAACTTGATAACAATTGGAGAATTCTGTTTTACAGTGAACTCGAAAGAAGCATTTGGAGAGGTAGGATTGGAAGACTAGGGAGGTAGGATGGTATTGGAGGTAGGATAAATAATGGCAGGTATAAGGTCTGGGATAAAGGGATTTTAAGCTTGGAAAGTAGTCTGGCATACCATATCTGGTTAAAGCTTGTACTATGTCCAGAAATGCACCCGAGCAATATTGCTTGCTTTCCAGGGCTAAGGAAATATGATTAAAAACTCAGAGTCCTTGTTGGATTGTAGAATTTTGTGAACAAAAAACGAATTGATGTGAAGGAAGATTTAGGGATTCTATAAAGGGTAGGATTCGTCTCAAAAGAATCTTTTCAAAGATCTTTGAAAGAATTGCGAGTAGGATGAATGGTCTGTAGGATGTTAAGCTGTTAAAAGATTTGTATGGCCTTTGGAAAAGAATGATAGTGTAATATCTCTATAAATGAGGAAAGTGGGTTGTACGTAGGATACTACTGTACATGTATGTGAGAATATGACAGCTTTGACAGGAAGTTGTCAAAGGATCTAGAGAGATAAGGAGATCATACCCAGAAGATTTACAGGGAGTTAGTATTTGTAATATGAGTTCGACATCAGAAGGATAAACTGTTTTTGGTGGTTAGGGAGAGTGGGATGGTTGAAGTAAGGAATTCTTCGATTGTTGTGATGTGTATGGGGTGGGATTCTGGATGAGGCGTGAATGATTCGAAAAGGTTTTTGACAAATTCTTCGGTTTTATCTTCATCTGATAAATAATTATAAATAAATAATCTTAAATAATTATTATGAAAGGAAAAAAATCTATTGAATTTAACTCTTATTTTTCTCTTGAAAGATGATTTGATTGCTCATCCACTATCTCCTTGAGGATCATTTTATTTCTAAGACCTGAAGAACTTAAAGGCTTCTTCACAAAGATTTCAATATGATATTCCTGTCGGTGGAGATATGGCGATATAGTTGTATTATTATCTATTGCATTATAGCAGTGACACAGAGTGCAATAATCCGCGGTGATCTTGACAAAGAGTATCGTATCGCCGGGACATATCATGTTCTGTGTGTAGGAGTTTTGAGTCTTTACATTTATAGCTGTTGAGACTTAAAGCTTTTAAAAGATTGAGTGTGCCTGACCGCCATTTTCTTTTTCTTGTGACCCTCATTTTATTTATGAAATAAAAGGGTTTAAGATTCCACCTTTAGTTCTACATAAGGTTTTTTAGAGGCTGAGTTTACCTAACTATTTTTTAACATTTACTATTTTTCTTACAGTTGTCATTTTATTTTCTGCGATCTTAGGGATGTGAGGTTTCTCATTTAGCACTATTTGAGAGATTTAAGGCTTTGTAGAGGATGAGTGTGCCTGAATGATGGCCATAAAGAAATCTAGAAATAGAAAAGGAAATAATGGCAAAAGCATCAACAATATGTTGGTCGGGCGCACACAGACTTCAGAAAACGTTAAGTCTCTAAAATATCATCAAATGTGAAACCAAAAGTCTCCAATATTGCAAAAACATAATGAAAGCTGCAAGAAAAAGAATACTGAGAAGTTATACTCAGCCTCTAACAAGCATTAAATCTTTCAAATAGCAGTAAGTATAATGCCTTAACCCCTGTATGTCACAAATGGTGATGCAAAAAAACAAAACAAATTGGCGATGTAAACAAAACAAAGGTGATTTGAGAATATAATAATTATTAAAAAAGAAAGAAAAATATTATGATAGGGCACACTCAGCCTCTACTAGCCCCTTAAGTCTCAAATAGTGCTAAATTTAAAACCCTGAGTACCCCAAATTGTGTGATTATAATGACAACCTCAAGAAAAAGGAAACTGTGATTAGGCACACTTAGCCTCTAAGAAGCATTAAATCTATCAAATAACAGTAAGAGCGCTCCATAAGGGAAGGGAAGTACACTATTTGATACAGAGGAAATGGAAATCATTGTTTAGTTAACAGTTTTCTTATTAGGAATCAATTTCTATCTGTTTTAAGGGACATACAAATATTTTGAGCAGATGAGGATTTCGGTGGCCATATTCCAGGGGCGTTAGTTTAAAATCTTGATGATAAACATACTTTGTCCGACCGAAGACAGTGATGATGAAGCCAAATGCAAATTTTATGGTAAACTGGAGTGGGTTTGTGATAAACTGCTTCAAAGCCGCATGAAACTAATTCTAGGAGACAATGATCATTAACTTAAAGGTGGGAAGGGAAGAAGTTTATTTTCTGACGATTGGTAAAGAAAGTTTACACGACTATACTAATGATAATGGAGCTCTGCTAATAAATTCTGCTATCTCGAAAAATCTAATAATTTAAAGTACCTACTTTATTTAAACATAAGGATATTCATAAATATACTTGAAAATCACCGGATTTGTAAACACAAAATCAAATCAATCATGTCTTCATACAATATATGTGGCAAAGTAGCATAATTAATGTTAGGTCCTATCATGGAGCCGAAATGTGGGTCAAATCATGAATTAGTTATCATGAAACTTCTACAAAAATTTAATATAAAAAAGAGAAAAGAAAAACGTTTCGGTATCGAGAATTTTAATTTGGAAAAATTAAAAAATCCATCAATTAGAACTTAATTCAAACTAGAAGTTAAGAATAGGTTTGAAGCTTTTGATACTTTTGATAAGAACGGTGATGATATAGACAACTTATGGATAGGGATTAGATATAATATTATTGGCAGTAAGAAGCTATATAATATTCTAATTGAGCGGAGGATCCCCAAAAAATTAGCAAATCTAGTTAAGATGTGTATTCTAAAACATTTAATAAAGTTAAAATTGGTAATTATTTATCCAAGAAAGTTGAGGTTCGTTTGGACTTAAAACAAGCTGATTCCCTTTAACCTGTCCTATTTAAGTTGGCATTAGAATATACCATTAGATCTGTTATGTATCATACATGTAACATACAAATCTGGATGGAGTATTATCCGTGCTTGGGTATGCTGACGATTTGGTACTGTTAATATCGTGGAATGACATGGAAACAATAAAACTAAATACAACTACATTAATGAAAGCTGGTAAAGAACTGGGACTTAAAATGAATATGGAGAAGATATAATATATGGTTAGCAGCAAACATGGTGACAATTTTGGTGTTATAGATATTGGAGGGAATACATTTGAACATATAGAGAAGTTAGGTATTTGGAGTCTATGATGACAAGAAAAAACAAAATTGAAGAGAAAGTTAAAGGCGGGGAATGCTTGCTATTTTACATTGCGAAACTATTTTTTTCGTGGCTGTACTGAATTGCGTGAACTGTATCTGGTTAATACAATTGAGATAATTACATTAAGATGAATTAAAAGAGTATGTAAAATTGCTTGGCTTAGTAACAGAAGATTCTGTTAAGGCTGATCTGGTAGGGTTGTGTTTGGATGGCGCCCTGTGGGTAGAAGAATGTAGACATTGATCAGTGATATCAGCATCAAACCTTCGCATAGTGGAGCAGAACATCCTAAAACCTGGCATAAATTCAAAAATTGAATGTTTTCTTTTGAAGAATCGTTATTGATATTTGAACACAGCAGGAGTTTGGCAGATTTAATTCAGGTATAAATATGAACTTCAATATGTTTTAGACTAAACCAGTTAATGCCAAGTCGACAATCTAATACAGTCTTTGTGAACGTTAGTATCTATGGCACAGGCATTGAATAAAAAAAAAAAAAAAAAGAAATGTTAGCTAATTCATACAATTTGTTTTATTTTTCCCATTAGTTAACAGATATAAATGTCTATATTTATATAATTTTTAAATAACTTTGATTTTTGTAGTTTGCTAACGAATTGAAACGTACCTATTAATACCTTTGTTTATATTACAAAATTGCTTAACTTTTATAAATTTTTTATAAAGAATTCTTGAAATATATATTTTCAATTTTTTTATTTGTTATTATTTTTAAGTAGAATTTTAATTACATTTGTCCCATTTCATTTTTTATTTACTTAATAGTTAATTATAACATATTTGTGTAGTAATTCTAGATTTTGTTTTCAGTCCCGTCATATCGATAGATCAAAACAAGAAAAGGTCAAAGAAGCCAATTTCTATTTCTTCATTGAAGCCTGTGTTGCCCTTCTTGTATCTTTTATCATAAATGTCTTTGTTGTCTCAGTATTTGCTCATGGCATGTACAAAAAAACTAATCATGATGTAGTAAGTACAGTTGTTTTTTTTTATCCTAATCATTTATAAGTTTGTTGAAACAAATAATTTGTTTCTTGTCTTTTCCTCTTTCTTTAAATATTTTATTTAGTTATAACTTGTTAAACATAGTCTGTTGAAATTCTTTGTTTGAAGTGTTGGTATATTTTATTTGAATGAAAATGAGATACTTAAGATTTTTGGAAAATGCATGATAACCATAACCAGAGTGATCTATGATCAGATTACTAGTTTTTCTCAGCTATGGAATAGTTTTTATTATGTTTTCCAATAAAATAAATAAAGTATCCATTTCATGTCAAATAAACCTTTACCATTATTATCAGATAATAACTAAAAACAATGCCTATTCCCTGCAAACATTGTTTACAGATTCTTAACAATTTTAAAAAGAATAGTGACATCTCTTACAAACCTGTAAACCCTATACTGTATATTATCTCAAAATTGTAGATCTCAGAGCTTAAAAATGGTAACTAGTGTGGCGTGAAGGAACCTTACCTTGATCTCAGTATCAAAATCTTCAAAACCTAATTGGTCCTTTCTTGACACATCGACTTACACTAACCACTGTCCCACTTTTGAAGCCTAGTGAAATTTTAAGATCAACAATACCCCATTCATGGCATTTGAACATTACAGGAACTTATGTACAAAACTGATTTTGAGGCTATTAATCTATGTTGGATTATTTCAATAATTAAATTATATGAGCATTTGTTTTTAAATTTCGTTATATTCTGAACTTTTTCTTCATTACTATGAGTATTATGATCACAATGGAATAAATCTCAAATCTTGTAGAGGTTTACCATGACAATATATCTTGTTTGCTTTTTTTTATAGCATGCAGGATGATTGGTTCCACTTTATTTACCACTCTCTCTCTCTCTCTCTCCATTAGAATCTTTTGCATTTATATTTCCAATCATCAGCAGTAATGAGGTCTGGCAAGATTTTGCTGCCATATCTTTTTTTTATTTGTTTCATCTAACTTACCATTTCAAGCATACCGAGTTCTCAGCGGCAGTGGGTTGCGCATGCTACTGCTACCAATTAAACTCTTTTTATTTTTTTTACTTTGTGTATGCTTTTGGATATATATTTATTTCTAGTAACAATAAAAATAGAGGTTTCCTGTGGCACAATCCAGTGCGCAGCTATGTCCAGTGCGGTGCAACCCCAGTGTGGGGCTGTGCCTTAAATCCTCTTTTCAGTCCAATGGCTCTCAGGTGCCATTGGGACCTTCACTCAGTAGGATTCACTCAGGAGGCCAGAGTCACCACTAACCATAGAGTGTCTTCTCTACTGTTTCCATCATATTTGACAAGTGTACAGGGCACTATCTGCTCCCAACACAGTGCCTTATTTCATCTTGCGCTTTTCTAGACATCATGCAATTCTTGCAATTAGATGAGGATCTGTTTTCCTAGCCTGGCACTCATTTGCCTTATGGCTACACTTGCATCACACCATCTGCATGTTGGGTCTTTCTTACATTTAACTTTGTTATGGTCATATTCCTGGTATTTCAGACTAAGGGGAGCATTCATGTAGTCCATAATGCCCAATGTCCAAAATCTGCTGGATATTTTTTACATATGCAAGACTACTGTTCTCACAGATGAATAAACCTCCACTACTCAGGTTTTCTTTAGGTTACCTCTCTCAAGATTAGCAAAGCATGGCCTATTACACTATTAAACTATCCTTGTGGTATACTTATTCCACTGTTCTGAGTTCTATTCATAGGAAGTCAGTTCTATTCATTCAATTCAGTGGATTTCCAGTCCTTGGGTACTCCACTGATTTCCGGCTTCGGTCTCTATGTTCTTGCCAGGTTGACTTTTAGTCCTTTGTTCTTCAAGCATTGCATTTCTATTAGCATCTTAGCTTGTTCCACCTCTTAGTCTTCACCAGGACAGCATTGGTGAGATCTATTTTTTGAGCTGTAATCTGTGTACCCTGCAGTTCCTCTTCGTTTGGGAGAGCCCCTCATATGTTTATCAAGTTCTTTGCTGCCATATCTGCAACTGTTTCGCTTCTGGGTATACAACAATACGAGGGTGCCTATGCAAGAACAATATTTTCTCCTAGTGATCCCTTCATCTTCCAGAGAAAGTTATCAATTTTTGTGGGAATACTATTATCACTAATCTCTTTAATCAGTTCTGCGCATGCGTTAACCCTACACATACACTCTTTATTTCGTCTCTTATAAAGTGACTTTATTATCAGTGAAATAATTCATGTTAGATGTGAAAAAGTAGTGTGAACTGTTAAGTTAACAATTAAGTTGAAACTGGACATAAATAGGGTGAGTAATCACTTATTTACAACGGCATTGTGAACAGTGTAAATAGACCTGAGGATAGTGATAGATAACAAGCCGGCCATATACATTCGCTAATCCGACCAGTGGGCTGCTGCCCTTCGGCGGAAGCACATCTACGTTACTCAGAATTCTACAAACTCGCGTAATATATACGTAATTGATAAAGGACATTTTTTTGCAAATTATTACATTTACCTCTAATTAATTAATATGAGATGCGATATTTTCACATGGTAATGTCGAGCAAAGGTAGCAATCGAACTTTAAGATCTAGTAATCTAGTAAAATAAGAACTTTAAGAGTCTCGATACCACAAAGAGTTCACCTATCAAGAAAAGGGCTAGACGCTCTAAAAAAAATACCCCGCCAGCTACACCAGAGAGCTCAGTTGACGAAGTCGAAAATCAACCTGGCACATCATCACAAAATATGTCAACACAAGCTATATCAATACAAGGTACGTTAGAAGAATCGCCCTTTTTCACAGCTAATCCATTCCAAGTGTTGTCAAACACACAGAATGAACAAATGAAAGCAGTACCCATCCCTAGTGAACCTAAACCCCCACCAATATTCGTTAGAAACATAAAAAATTTTCAACTAATGTGTCTACTATTAAATAATATAGTGGGCTCAGGTAAATACTTATGCCAAAGCCGCACTAATGACACGAAATTAATCCCTGACACCCCAGATACGTACAGAAAAATTGTCAAGTATTTATCTGACACTACGGCGGATTATCACATATATCAGCTGCGCCAAGAGAGAGCGCTCAGGGTGGTGATCAGGAGATTACACCCATCAACACCGCTGGATGCCATTAAAGAAGAACTAACTGAGATGGGGTTCCGTGTTCGCCAAATAGTGAATATATTCAAGGAAGATAGAGAACAGCCTGGCTACAAAAAATAAAATACCGCTCCCACTATTCTTCGTTGACCTTGACCGAACGACCCAGGTCGAAGACATCTACAAGGTCACACGCCTTTACTACACTAGCGTTGTTGTAGAAAAGCCCTACACTAAGCGCGACATTGTACAATGCCATAACTGCCAGGCTTATGGTCATACGAAACGCTATTGCCACCACATTCCTAGATGTGTCCGGTGCGGTGATCAACATAAAACAGAGGACTGCCAGAAGTCCAGAAGAACACCAGCAGTATGCGCTTTATGCCATCAAGGGCACCCAGCGAACTACAAGGGTTGCCAAACATATAAGGAACTAAAAGCAAGAATTTATTCAGCTCCAAGAGAAGAACGGCCATCCAGGCCACCAAGACAACCCTCTAGAACTGTAAATACAAGAGTGTCCTATGCTCAGATATTCAAAGGAGACACTGCACCCACACAAACTCAGGCCCTGCCACAAGAACCTCAACCTCGAGTATTCACATCTCAACCTCAAGACCCTTATCCCATCTCTGAACCTAGGCCTAATAACCAGACATTCATTCCTCCTCCTCCCAATGCCACTGACCTCACAAGCCTATTGACTTCTTTTCTCTCTGAATTCAGATCACTCATCACTCCTCTCATTTCCTTACTTACCAATGTTGTATCCAACCTCATCCCACTGCCGAGAAATCCTTAAATGTCCCCAATCAAATCCCTCTCCGTTCTCCTTTGGAATGCGAATGGTATTCGAAATCACATCAACGAGCTAACAATCTTATTACAGGACAAAAACATTGATATAGCATTAATAACTGAAACTCGACTTACCAACAAACGACCACTTAACATCCCCAACTATCATATCTATCGAACCGACCATCCTGATGGAACAGCACATGCTGGCACTGCCATAATTATCCATCAATCCCTTTCCCATCACCTATTCCCTTTGCTGACCCATAATTTCCTACAATCCACTGCCGTGATAATCCAAACTTCTCCTTACCCAATAGCAGTAGTCGCAGCATACTCCCCGCCTAAAATACCTATCTCAGAATCCCAATTAACTTCCTTCCTTAACTCCTTAGGACACCACTTCCTTCTAGGTGCAGACTTAAATGCTAAACACCAGCAATGGGGAGCCAGAACCACAAATTCCAGAGGACGAACATTGCTATCTGCACTTAATTCCCATCACAGCAACATCCTCTCACCCAATTCTCCCACATACTGGCCAACAGATCCTAACCGCAATCCCGATCTCCTAGATTTTTTTCATCCACAAAGGTCTAGGGTCCCTTAATTATAGCATTTCAAGACTTGATGATCTTTCCTCAGACCATAGTCCCCTAATCCTAACGGTCTCCACATCACCAATTCCCAAACCACCTCCACCTTCATTTATCAGGGGGCCAGTTAATTGGAACCTCTTCCGTCAAATACTGGATGATAATATTGACCTCAGAGTTTCCTTAAAAACACCTGCAGACCTAGATGAAGCAGTATATTCCATGACTACCTTGATCCAACAAGCAGTTTGGACTGCATCTTCACCTGATCCTTCTAAAAAATACCGCAAAATAAATTCTCTACCCCAAGACCTACTGGACCTTATTAATAGGAAACGATGCTCTAGGACCATCTGGCAAAGAACCAGGCATCCTGATGATCGGAAATCATATAACTATTATTCCAAGCAGGTAAAACAAAAACTGGCTACGTTTAGATCCCAATCCTATAATTCCTATCTTTCCTC